CCGCGTTTTCTGCATTTTTTTCCATTCGCGCCCGGTACGCCTGCGGTAATTTGGTAGCAAAACGAGCCACCGCAAAAGAAAAAAAGAAAAAAAAAGCTTAATTGTCCGTACACACGGGAACGATAGTATTCTGGAATACGACGTTCGAATTTTTACCCACTGTTTCGACTCGTTTACGCGATCGGTATCGCGCTACCTGTGTTTGGATAGGGATCTTATTTGCATGATGGTGGGTCGTGGTTCGATAAGATTTATCGCTGAATTTAATAACGTACGATGGGTACGATAAGGCTACTTCGTAAAGAGGGAGAAAGATAATGGTATCGAACCGTTCGTAGAATCCGTGATATTCAACGTGATCGACACTATGTGTTATTATGTACTTGTGTATTATTATGTACTACCCATGTTATAATAATTCAACAATCAAATATAAAACAATCTAGACAAACGTGTCTCATAGAAATTAGACACTAAAATGAGAAACATTTTAAGAAAAGATTAAGACTAACCTTTTACTCTCGACAAACTTTTTTTCTATATAATCATTCGAATGGTATTTAATAAACGAAATTTTGTTGATTGTATCTTTCTAATATGCGATATCGTTTAAATTTGAGGCTATCATCAAGAGTTAATGATGCATAGTTTTAATCTCTGAAGAAATAATATTCTGCATCATTTTTTTAAACTTTCGTAAGAAGCAACAAGAAGACTAGTTATGTTAAACTTGAGGATCTTCTTCGCGTATAAACAGTTCCGAGTGTTTTAATGCCGACTATTAACACACTTGCGAACCGGCAAATTTGAAAATCGTCGGCGAAAATGAAGAAGAAAATCTCAAGCTAATTGCCGCAAATTTCTAACGTTAAAACAGGGAGAAGAATTAGAAAATTTGTTTTGAAATGTTCGTCTGGTAACGATCGTTTCGAAGGAGCAGAATTTGAAAAGACGTGAATTCACGTCAACGGTTGCGAATGCGTTGAGAGCAAAGACAAACGCAGACCGGAAGAAAGACGCCTAAGCGTCGTTGCTTAACGGTTAATTGTACGCTCGGAGTGGAACGAAAATTAATTCCGAACGGTCGATTAAACGACTGATGGGTTGATGGGGATCGTACCGTTAACGGGGCCGCTGTCTCACCGGGGCGGCGATTAATCCGAAGTTTGAGCAGTCGAAAAAACGATTGGCAAGAGGACCGGAGCGATTTTCCGGCCGACGCGCAGCCGTGTGGCAGCGTTGAAAGACGGTGCGAATGTGGGGGGATACGCGGCCGCGTGGCCGTCGGAGGTGGATAAACCGACGGATAAAGCGGTGGAACGAAAGCGGACGTAGATTGGGTGTACCGATTTAATTTCGTTGCGAATCAGGCTCGGTAAATACCGAGGCCGCGCCACCGGAACCTGAGAGAACCGATCGCGGTTCAACAAAGAAACCGACCGCGGCTGAACGACGGGGGGTGGGAAGGAGGGCGAAAGGGGAGGGGGCGCTTTAATTAAACGAGCGGAAATGATGCCCGGGTAAATATTAAATGCGACCGACGAGCGGTGCGGCCGTCTCGTCAGTGCTTTCGTCCGCCAATATTCGACTTCACGCTCGTCCCACCTGAATAATTTTATTTGCCGCGGCGTTTCGTCCTCGCCTTCGCGCGTTCACACCGCTACTGCCGTGAAAAGAAGAATCGTCGCTCCGCGTGCGTGTAACGCGACGATTGCACCACTTCTGGATGGTTCTTTGCTCCCTCCTCCTCGCAACGACGTCGTCGACACCGTGAAGCTGGTAACGGGCGAAATTCGCGCGCTGGCTTTTTCGAGACGATTAACGACACCGACGACCCGGCGAGGAAGACAATCGCGCGAAAAAAGACGGCCATTACGAGCGTCGTCCTCCATTACCTCGTCATCGAGACACTTTCCACATCGAAGACGAGGGAAGGGGAGGTTTCTGTCTGTATGTACACGCGTCGAGTAAAAGGCAGATCGTCCCGACAAGGCAGTCTTCCACGGTTTTCCACGAGGAACGCTGTCATCGCCTGTCTCGCAATTAGTCTCGGCTGACGCGTTTTTGTCGGCCGTCTGGTTACACCCGGTTCGCGATCCCGTGTCGCGTGCTACCACGCTAGTTTTCCCTCGCTTTCTTCCTCCTCTTTCCGTACGCTCTCCTCGCCGTCGTAAGCGCGAACGACTCGGCTTGGAAACGAGTCGTGAACGATTCGCGGGATACGCGCACGAGAAGATCGCGCGTCTAACGTTCACGCTCGTATCGTGTACGAGTGTGGCATCGGTCGTGAAGCGAGACCGAGACCTGGTAGTATTTTTAACTGGCAGAAAATAGTTACTTGTTACGCCACGTTAAACCAACCGCGCCGATACTATCGAGGCATTAATTTGCGTAAACGAACGAAGTCGGCGTGGTTGGGATAACGAGGCGAATCTTAACGAGTTTGGCAGCTGGCCGGATCAGAAGTCTCTTTGTTTCTCAAGAGAGCAAAGCGAGGGGGGGAAGAGGTCGCGTTAAATCTGTCTTCTCTCGTCTCTTCGCCCGGATTTACAACGTTTTAATCGTTCCTCGTTGCTCTCACGCAACGTTGATGAAAATGTTGCCTGAAGGTTTGATTGATTTTTGAACAACCCGTTGAATCGCGCGCAAGTTAATCTGGTTCGCCACCACTTTTATAAACTAAAAGTTGATTTCGATTGAAATTACGTCGAATCGTGAAAGTTTCGAACAATACAGCTACCCGTTTCGAACGTTAGACTCGAGATTACTGTGGATTCGATTTGCGAGACAAAGGTTACGAGATATTTGCGATATTTGTGATATTTGCGAACAAAGTCATTCAAACGTACATTGGCGCGTAAAAAATATTTCAGATACGTTCGTTCCAATTATCCAGTATATTAATATTTAGTGGCCTAGACGTCGATGCGACACTAAATCCAATTTAACGAAACCGCCCGACTGGCGAAAAAATATATTTAATGAGACTATAATTATTCATGCTGTACATTAATTTTAATTGTATATCAGCAATAAAACATTTAAAACCCGGTAAATAAATTCACGTCCCGTTATCAGACAACGAGTAAATATTCATCCAGATTCGTACTTTTATATTAATGGAATTCGGAATCAAAGTTTCGTTTCATCTACCAAATGTTACAAATGCTCTATTCCATTGTTTTCTTTTTTCCATATCGTGCCTTTATGTTCTCGCTACTCGTTCCAGTTACTACGAATCGCGGACATAAACATTTTCTACGGCAACGGTTCTGATACCGGTTCGTGGGCTGCTCGATCGACAACGTTCGCCAGAATTCGTACCTGAGACTCCTTCTCCAACCCCAGAACGGTGCGTTCGGTATCGCACGCATCGTGAATCAAGGCGGAGCGTATTTACGACAGGACCCGAGAGATTAAATTCGCGGCGCATTATTATGGGCGACGCGGTCGCGCGTAGCAAATACGTCTGGATTTCGGGGTGCGAGAGTCGTGCGGATCGTAGACGCATTTGTATTCCAAGCGGCAAGACAGCTCTCTCTCTCTCTTTCTCGACGAGCCTACCCTCTCTTTTAGAGCGGTGCTTCCCGATGCAAAACGATGGAAAACGATCAGCCCCGATTCCCATGACACCACGAGCGTAACTCGGCTATACGTGTATACCGGCCAGACAGCCTGGCCGAGATACGTTGCGTGCGAGTTCCGCGAACCCACCGGCGAGCAAACCAAATGGAATTTCGCCTCCCCTTCGCGTCTCGAAACGCGAGTTCCGCTTGACGTACGATTATGGTCGGGGACCGCTTGAAAACGTTTCATTCGCCAGGCAAGGAGTTAACGTATCGGACGTGTCCGCGTGAATTAGCACGTTCCGTGACGCGGCTTTATCCGGTCAATTTGAAAACTGCCGCCGCCGTGCACCCGCGCGGACAATTAACGCGCAAATTGTTTCTTTATCCTTGGCACCGGGCATCGATAAACGGGGCGACGATTTACGCAGCTCCTTGCGAGAAAACAAAGTTCATTTGGAGAATATTTGAGGGAGGGCTCGGGCAAAATCTGTCGTTCTGTTTGTTAAGGGGTAAGACGAATTTGCACCCTTTCCGTATAATGTATCTCTGGTTGAATAATTCTTAATTTTTAATTAAACCATAGATAAAATTAAAGGGAATCTATTTGGAAATGCAGTCTACCTTTGTCGAACATGTGGGTGAAGTATGCACGCTTCTTGCAAGTCCCTTTTACAAATGTAATTTAATGTTACGAAGTAACTCGATCAAATATACTCCTATAATACTTCGCCCAAAAATCCCTCATCTCTTTCCCAGACCAGACCAAAACTGAACCTTCCTCTGAGAGTCTCCCCTCTTCCACGAAATCTTCGTCCCAAACCACATAAACGCAATTAGAGAAGAAACAGTCGGCTGGCTCGAGATTCCAGGTCTCTACAAGTTCCACGATAAATCGCGAGTGGATCATAAAGTAGATAGAATTCCAAGCTCGGGGGACTCGGCGGTGTCCAGCGTCTCGCGTCAGAGAACAGGCCGAGTTCGGTCTCGTGCGTGGCGATTCGATTCGCGGACGAGTCGAGCCACGAAGCACAAGGAGGGGGACAATTAACGGCTCGTCTCCAACGAATATATGAACCGTTCGCCAGCCGCGAACCCACGTCATACGTCATGTCTCTCCACATGGGCGTATTTCGGCGTAACGAGTCGAGTCGCACGCGTTTATTCGCGCGAGCCGTGAGTAACGATCGTGAGGGACGCGCGCCGCGGCGACGCGACCCGATGCAACACGATGCAACAGCAGCCACGGATACAAGGCGAGGAGTTTCGGATTTCCACCGGGCCGTCTCGACGACTTACCACCGTCACGGAAGGTACGAGGTCCAGCCACGGGTTGAAGGTCGAGCGGAGGGGCCGCGACCGGCAGCCATTCCCGTAGGGCAGCGAGCGAGCGAGCGCGCGCGCTGCGTGAATTGGGAATTTACGGGACGACCATCGACGCGACGTTAAAAGTATCCAACGACATGTCGTAATATACCTCATTACCTGCGCGCCGCGCCAACTCCCGGGACTTCCATTCTTCTCCGGCAAACATATATCCAGCCTGTCCTGGTATCTTCTTATCTTTCGGTGCGTTTCTCTCCGGCCCGATTCGATTTGTCATTTCGATGCCTCTCAGGCTTTCTCTCCTCTCGTCGAACTGGCTACACCTGCGAAGGAGAACAATTTTAGTACGAAATTGTTGAAGGAGGAAGTGTGACGCGTAGATTAAACGTTATACAATATACAAATTGCAGAAAATATTTTTAAATATTCGATAGGAACGACAAAAACACGCTTTCGGCATAAATTGAATTTTGTAATCAACGGGTGGTATCTTTCAACATTTTCGCGCGATATAATCAGAATCCCACTGCAATCCCACTTGAACTCCATGCACGCAGACAGAGCGGAGAAAAACAATTTACAGTTCACGCGCGTCTCGTTCAACGGAATAGGAAAGGAACAATCCAAAGTTCTGACCAACTCGAGGAAGCTTTCGTACAGAAATGTTTCCATACGCCGTTCCCATCCAGACATACACCTTACACATCCGCCACGGTTGAAAGAGCACGCGTATCAAATTAGCAGATGAAAAAACACGTAGTTTCGCGGGGCGTGTTCGTAATTCGTTTGTCTGAACGTTACAGCGAACACGGTAACTACGTGGGGTACACCGGTTCGGATAAAAAGAGGCGGTCGGCTCGCCTGGGTGGAAATCCCCTCGGCGTACAGACGGAACTTCTTGGGTCGGGACGAGGGTTGTTTTGACAGCGGCAAGGCCTATTCAAATTATTGCGCGTGCGGCAACCCCCTCGAAGCAAAAGGGGTAAGCAAAAAACCTTTATGCCGCGTTTCAGGTGGCTGGTGAATAAGTCGAGCAGGACTTTCGAGAATCCGCCGCGAATGGCTTTCCCCGCGAATTATCCGAAACGGGTTACCAGCACCTGTCCACCGACCGAGGAAACCTGCGCTTGTTCGACGATTTCCTTTCCTTCCTTCCTTTTTTGTTTATTTTTTTTTTTCTATTGTCAAACACGGTACGCTTCGATGATTTGAATGGGGCACGGGGCCACGTGCTACTTGAGACGCGTGCATAAAGACGAAGAAAAAATGGAAAAAGAATGCCTTCGTTTGGAGGCAAGGAGACGAAAGTGCGCTCCGTCGAATCCAAAAGAGAGAGGGGATTTCTGTAAATTTTCGTGGGAAGAAGCTTAAGAACCGGCTCTACTTTTCCTTTGACTGAAATAAATTCACCCTTTCGACGTTGGAAAATTTCCCCAAATCTTGATCAACAAGAGCGTCGACATTTCTTCACTTTCGTTTCAAAAGTGGGAAAACTCATCCACTGTCCCAAAGCTATCGCGTTTCTGGTAAATCCGCTCGCTTATGAATAAATGGCGAACTTTTCCGCGATAATTCATATTTTCGCCGTTGAAAAAGTAGAATCTCGAGGAAAAAAAGAAAAGAAGCGCCACGTTTGAATGTTTCGTGCAATTTCGCATTTTAAAAATGTCCCGCAGAATGCACGAGGATCCATTTGCTCGTAAAAGTTGTCCACTAGCTGGAAAAAATTCGTGTCACCGGGTGGATGGGAAATTTTACAGAGACCAGAGTGAATCCATTCTGTAAGAAGCTGAAAACTAGCGCGCCTTTGTGCGGTACTCGGTTCCACGATGGACCGTCTTTGACGGCGCTGGTACGAGCGACGACACGTGAAATGTGCCGAGACATGCATTCGCTACTCTTACGCACCGTTCCTTTGCAACCGGTCGAACGCTAATGACCTTAATGAGGCTGTTTTGACGCTTGTTCGTCCAGCTTGTTCGTCTCTGGGCTCCCTCGCGCCCATTCTCCCCTGGGTCCAACGTCGGAGTAATTGCAGCCCGAGCTACTCGACTCTCTCGTCTAATTGCGCCGGATTTCTTGTCAAGCACGAACCTTCGATATATCGAGGTCGTGGTTGCGCCGTGCTTTTCGATCGATTGACTGGCGCGATTAGTTGTTTGCCGTGCCACGTCACCGACGACTTGATTTTTAATTGAACACGCGCAAAAACCCACAGACGTTCTTTGGAAAATGAAAACTCGTTAAAGTCTCATGTATATATTCTTATAACTATATATTATGGCGCAAGAAAATTTGTGGTTTCGACTCTTCTGATTGTTTCAAATTTCACTTCGATGCTTTAACACGAACTGAGAGTTAATGATCTGAGATACTTTTGTAATAAGAACGAAAAAGCAGATACTAAAAAAAAAAAAAAAAAAACTCTGATTCCAATGATTCATATAATATAATTCTTTACATATTTATTTTCTCACAACGATCTAGTTCTATACATTCTTCATTAATTTCTAACATTTCGGTACGAAGAACCAAGCTAATTTAGCTTTCCTCAAATTAAAAAATCTAGACTCGTCCAATTTTTGCGCCACAGAATCTTCAATTTTTTTCTTTTCCTCTCACGCGTCTGAATTATTAATTAACACGATGGTAGATGCATCCATAGACACGAGTGACGCGATAATTGATAATTACGCTGTGTACGCGAGTCTTTCTCGCCGCCCTTTATCAACGGACGGTCGTGAAACATTGGTTAATCTTGCTGATGGTACCGATCATTACGGTTGGCAAATTTCCGGAGGTAGTTTATTAATTTCGCGCGATACGAGAGCGAGAAAAGCATTAGGGGGCTGGGTCGGTCTTTTGATTCATTGTTCCCATAATCTTTTAGTGGCTGTAATTATGTGTTCTCCTGGTAATCGCACGTTCATTATCCGTACGCGCGCGCGCAGTTTTCGCGAACGCGTGTACGTGCGCGCGGCAATATTTCGCGCGCGGGTAATTGCGCTGTTAATTAAGTAAATTTCGCGCGATTACTCTTTTCGGTTTTTCCTAGAATCGTAACTGACAGTTTTTAATTATATTTAATGACGCCGGTGGCAGTTGCGAGGCGAGGCCGCTCGGTAACAGATAGCCGGTGCGGGCCGTTGGACTCTTTTGTGGCTCGAGCGCGCTCGAGCGCTCTCCGCCACGGACGAATTACCGCATCGGTTAATAGGCATGTAGCGTGCGCTTAAAGTGCCAAGATTATACTGCACCTACTCTTTTTTGCGACCCCGGGACAAATGGGTCAAAATGCATTATCAGAGGGCCGGTGGTGCATTACCGTGATAAAAGGGGGCAAAACCAAGAGCTTCGTAATAACATATTTTTTATAACGTTTAACACGCTCCGTGCCGCGAAATTCACGTATTACAGACGTACCTAGGGCTGGCGGGGAAAAAACGAGAGAGAGAGAGAGAGAGAGAGAGAGAGCAAGGTGGGGAGAGGAATGAAAATGAAGCAAAGGAGCGATTGCTTTTAATCGTTCGCCGGTCTTTAATTACCGTGCGAGAGAAAAGTTTACCGTTCGCCGAGCAGCTATTGGTTAATACACCGCGGTGGAAAAATCTCCGCCGTAGTAGGAGATTCGATCCAAGTCGCGTGTGACGGTCCAATTTTTCCTTTTTCCTTTCTTTGTTGTTTTCGCGACGAAATCGACGACAAATGGTGAAAGCGAATGGGCTCGGGAAATAAGAATCGAAGCGTGTTCGCGGGCCAAAATCGCTGTTCGCAGGCACCGATTCAACGAGGGGAACAATGAGCCGACGAACGAACGAGCGTACAAGCGGGCACGGATCTAAGCGTTACTTCGATCAGGTGGTATCGCGTACAAATGCATCGAGATTCAAATGGGGAGGCTGATTCGGTTCGCGGAACACCGATCGGTGAAGTCGATATAATCATATGGCCAATTAATCGCGCAATTAGCGGACCTTTTCATGCATCGGAAACCCGCTGCCGAGTGTTTGCGCGAGGTTGCCAATTCGTTTTTATGGGAAGCACGATGATGAAGTCGCAGGTAGCCTAAACGCGTAGGTAGTCTACTCTTTGATATTGGAAGGGGACAATAACAGGCGTGGCACGGACCAGTCAGCTAGTTGGGTTTCACCCACCTACGCATGCTAAATTTATGTTCGCCCGCATTGACCGGCACACGGAGCTACGAGAGAAACTTTCTTCCCCTCTCTCTCTCTTCGCTTCTATCGACGACCTGTAGTCGACCGTGCCACGATACGGCTGTCGATAATACGCTTAAGAAGCTCGTCGATCTACTTTCACGTCGTGTAACATGTTCGGAATCTCCGGAGAATTGACGATGACTTGTGCTTGGTTGAATTTTCGTTCGCTATGATTCGTAATAAATTTGTCTTATTTGTCACCAGTGGGCGGAAGATTATCATATGTTTGTCATTTTTCTATAAACAGGTTCGAATATTCTACATTCTTCGTGTTAGTTTTCCCTGCCTGAGATTTCTAATAATTGCGTTGACTTTCGTACTTGATAGACTATTATGTAAATTAAATAAATCGACGAACTATAACTATAACAGTTCGTTTCAATATTTCGTGAACGTAGCACCAAATCCTCCGTGTCACACTGTTTCCCAATATCATCAACATCCGCGAAAGGAAAACAGTTTAAAGGATGACCGCCTGCCTGAATAATTCACCGTGGATTTACCAGGATACAATGCAGTATGCTAATAGCACGATAATAAACACTTTGCTTCGATGACAGGAGCAGTAAATAGGGGGTTTCGTCTGATCAAACACGATACTCCGCGGCGGTTTCGTCCTGCACTGCGTATCTCCCGATTAGGAGATCGTTGATAAGGCGTATTGATCGCTTCGTTAGGCGACGCGGTGAACGTAGAGCTAAGACTGCACCGAACCTCGCGCGCACGAGACACGCGAGAGTATTAATAACTATCTCGTACTACGACAATCGAGCGTTAATTACACCAAGAGCTTCCTTATCCATCTTCATACGCGTCACTCTGAGAAATCTTGTAAATATTGCAAACGCCTTGGCCGACGCGCCGATCTGTTAAAACGATGTTCCCGAGGTACACACACATACGCCGTTCGATTGAAACGCGTCGACAATTTGTTTGCCAGGCGAGCAGAAACGCAAACACGGGACGAACAAGGGGATGGAGGCTATTTTGTTGCCGACGAGAATATCGACACCTATTGCCGCTTGCGCTTATCCAGCCGCGATACGTGGCTGATAAAATCGGAACTCGTTGGTGAATAACGCGGGCTCGAGCTACCCGATCGT